GGTTTGAATTGATGAATGACAGTTGTTCCTGTTTCTGTTTTGCAGAACATTTTCCACAATAGCAGTGATGAGTTTGAAATCAGACACGACGTCCTCGACTGCCACATCAGTATCTGCTCCCCACAGGTCAGTTTTAAAACAGACAGGGACAGTTAAATCACTTCATCTTCTGTGGTAACATCTATTCTCTCGTTTTCAGGTTGCTGAGCTCTACACTGACAATTTTGATTATCAGACGAGGGATGACTTTGTCAGAGGAATCTTGGTCAATGAAGAGGTATCACAACCATTGTAAACTTATTGGAAAATTGGACTGTATTTGCTGCTATTATAGGTCATAATTCATGTTCTTGCTTCAGATCCTGGGAAACCAGATACACATGCATGTCACCAAGGATGGTTACGGTGTTAGAGTGTCCAACTTGCTCATGTATGATTCGGTGTCGTCCGACCTTGTGCGGCGGTGGGTCTACCCGCTCACCCCTGAGGCTAACTTCACAGACCAAGAGAGACGGAGCTGCACGTACTCTCGCCACAATGTCTACCGAGGGTCCGGAGTCAGCCTGGGCCAAGGCAGCCAGATGGAGGAGAATGTCCTCATTGGCTGTGACACCAGCATCGGTGCTAACTGTCACATTTCTAACAGCATCATCGGTAACAAATGCACCATAGGTGAGCTGACCAACCGGCGCTATTAAAGAGTGGAAGTGTGTGTTTGGAAATAATTGTGATTAACATTTGTCATATTTTATCGCAACAGGGGACAACGTCGTCCTGAATCATGCCTACATCTGGAATAATGTTCACATTGCCAGTAACGTGGTGATCAGCCAGTCTGTGGTCTGTGACAAGGCTGAGGTCAAAGAAGGTGTGATGCTGAACAAACAGTGTGTCCTGGCATATAATGTAAGTATACATCATTTATAAAGCTGGGCAATTTAATTTATTGTTCACAACAATAAACACCAACACTAGTTACTACAACACATACAGGACTTGAAGGTTACCTTTTGTAATCTACATAAAAGTTTTTAAATAATCAGCCTAATAATTTATTTATGAATGTTATTGGCTATGTCACAAAAATGCAACATTTTTGTGTCAGTGATGGTACACAACTGTTTGCATGTTAAAGCAGCACCAGAAAACCTTGCATCTCAGAATTTCAAAGTTGAAATAGTATTTCAACTTAAATCTGGAAATTGAAAAATCCTCAATTCTTAAAAATGCAATAGGATTTGTTTCCCTTATACCTGGCTCTACTACTCTTATGTACTCTTGAGAAAGCACTTGCTTAAAGGGCCAGTGTGTAGAATGGAGTGATATCTCGTGGTGAAGTTACATGTTGCAGCTGGATACTCCTCCTCTCACCCTCCCCTTCCAAACATGGAGAACCTGTGGTGAACTGCAGTTGTCATGAAAACTCAAAATGTGTTTGTTCAGTTTGGAAGACAGTAAAAAACATGGGGGCCTCCACAGAGAGGACCCCCCTCCATGTAAATATAAGTTTTTAAATAAGGGCCCATCCTATGGTAAAGAAAACAACAATAACACCTAACACCTAAATCTTACCTGGATCTTATCTGGATGTGTCCACTGTATTTCTCTTTCAAAATTTCTGTCCATCAATTTCTGTGATCCAAGATGATTTCCCAACATTCATCACTGGCACCAACATTTATAGGATGCCTGGATTCTGATTACTATGAACTGTTTCCCAGGTGGTGATTGGACCAAACATATCTCTACCAGAGGGCACCGTGGTGTCCATGCACCATCCGGAGGAGGAGGAGGAGGAGGATGATGATAAATTCCTCAGTGATGATGCTGAGGTTGGTCATAGTAAAGACAAAACCAAACAGAAAGGTGTGTATTGATAAATTCACAGGTTGTCAAACTGTTTAAAGGTTTCTATTCATGAGACATGCTGTATAATCTTCTGTCCTCCAGTTTTCAGTCCAGCAGAGGTTGGAGCAGAGGGACAAGGCTACATCTGGAAGGCCAGCAGCCTGGACGACACAGAGGACGAGGAGTTGGCGCAGTGTCTCTGGGGTACAACAGCATCCTTGAGTTTGTCAATTTGGCATTACCCATGATGCTGCAGTCCAAGTTCCAACAGCCTTTTATTTGTGTCCTGTGCACCAGGTTTGGTGTTGAACCCTGACATTGAGAGTGAAAGTGAGGACAGCGAGCCCGATGATGATGATGATCCAGTGATCCCCTCTCCTGAGATGGATGATGTTAAAGGTGAGAGACCTTTGGAGCTGCAAATAATGATTGTTTTTAATGTTTTTGTCAATATAATTTAAGAAATACGGAGGAATTGAGGGCAAGCAAAATTAAACAATTAAAAGCAATTACAGCATTAGACAACAATACAGCACAAATACAAGTATTAGAAAGTGAAAGCAGCCAATTGATCTACTTTCAATTTACTCTCCATTCCCTTGTATGTTTGCCTGAAATGTTCATTCAGTTGTCACTGGAATAGATGCATATCCAAACTCAGGACTGTTGCATTTGTGTTTGTTATTTTTTTATTGCCATTATTGTATGTAACATTGGAATATAATTAGTACGGTTCTATTTGATGTGTCTAAAATTTCCTCAGGTGTTTTCTGCAAAAATATTGAAGGAGTCTTTCTTTGGGTTTAAATCCTCTGGAAATCATCAAGTTTTAACTACAACCAGATTCTATATTCCATGAAAGTGTAAAAGGTATTTGGAACTTCCTGCTGTCTGACTCTTCTTCTGTGGTTGTTAATGTCCAGTCTTCCAGTTGGAGGTGCTGGGGACTCTGCAGAGAGGCTTGGAAGAGAACATCAGCTGTGACAACCTTGTACTTGAGATCAACTCTCTCAAGTAAGGAGGAACTTATAACTGCAGTTATGTTACTGTCTTTCTAAGCTATTGCACATTCAGTTTATCACAACGTTTCTCTCCAGGTACGCCTACAATATCAGTCTGAAGGAGGTGATGCAGATTTTAACGGGAGTGGCTCTGGAGTACCCGTTTCAGCAGCAGGGCTCTCAGCTCACCGCATCACAATATGTTGCTGTTCTCCTGCCGGTGAATAAGCTGAAATTATGTATTTTTTTAAATACAGTTTGTGTATGTAACTGTAGACAGGATATCATTAAATATCCTGAATTCTTGTTTCTCTTTGCTCCTCTTAGTTATTGAAGAAGTGGGCACCAGTGTTTAAGAACTATGTGAAGAGAGCTCAGGACCATCTGGACTGTCTGTCCGCCTTCGAAGAGTTCTTCCTGGAGCAGGAGAGCCACTGGGCGGCCATGGTAAAGGTAGGTCACCACTGCAGGTTCACTCAGAATAAAGATCAAGCTCTGGTTACGAGAAAAGTTTTTGGTCATCAAACATCAAAATTCTGCAGTTTTTACTGCATTCACCCATCCTGCTGCTTATGATACTGATGATTTTTCCCATCCAGGTCCTGATGAACATGTACCAGCTGGAGATCCTGGAGGAAGAGATGATACTACGCTGGTTCTCCCAGGGAGCGACAACCGACAAGAGCAGGCAGCTCCGCAAGAACCAGGGGGTAGGTACAGGGTTAACTTGCTTACACAAGATGCACTTCACAGTTACACAATAACTGCGAACGAACAAATGGACAGGAGTGCGAACATAAACTCCCTGGTAGAGGTAATAATGACAGTTATGGATTTTTTGCAGTTTTACTTTCTACATGTTTCTCCTAGTAATAGTAGAATACAGAATGTTTGTGGTACCTTATTTGACTGAGAAACAGATAAACACAGTGTAACATCACAGTAGTGAGACAATGATTCATATAAACATAATCTTTTTATGCAGCATCGGGTTCTGCTAATATTTGAGAAAATCTGCGTTTGCACTTTGTTTGTCGAGATGTTTGTTTTTATAACCCATCGCTCATTATTGAATTTGTTTTCATCTAGGCAGCGTTTAGTTGTTGTGCATTTGACTTCACTGTAGCTGCAGTTGTTGCCTTTAGCTCCCTCCTCCTCCTCCTCTTCATCACCAGTTCTCACTGTGTTTTCCATAACGCAGCATTTCTGCTCTGCACCAACAGCTTCAGAAGTTCATCCAGTGGCTGGAGGAGGCTGAGGAGTCATCGGAGGAGGGTGACTGACGAGGAGCACTTGACGAACAGGATTGTGTAAAACTTGAAAAATGTGTGAATAAAGGGATTTGGGCCGTTTAGCTTTATCCTCAGCTGCATATTTCTGCCACTGGTAACCATCAGCTTCTGCTCTGTACAGTTGAAGCAAACATTTGTAACTCATCGTGCGAAGTCAAGAGGGATGGGTGTTATGAACCTCACTTTCCAAATAAAGGAGAAAGACTCTGCTTGGAGATGGCATGTGTTGAAGAATAATTTGTCTCAACACGAAATGTCTGATTTAAAAATAGATTTTTATTATAATTAATATTACAGACAAGAGTAAAACCACCACCTCTGAAAAATATATCTTTCATCAGTGTTTGGAACCATTTCCCTCTACAGCTGACAACAGGACAAACAGCAGGAGAGAACAATCGTAATGATTTAAGAGGTAGAAAATAAACAGCCAGTTGATGTGGTCTTAATCAGAGTGAATTCAGATTCCCTGTCTGGAATCTCAGACTGACAATTATATATCTGATCAGATTCGCAGTAAAAGCCCTGTAAAGAAAAATCTAAGTAAATAAATCATGACACGATAATTCCATTCTGCTAAATTCTTTTTTCAAAATGAATAAAATGTTCCCTTGATAAAATAGCATTGATTTTCTTACTTTTAAAGTTGATCAGTCATAGGAAGTAAAATACTCTGCATTAAATGCATGATTCTATTGGGGCTTTACTGCCCAAAATGAAATAATAATTTAGTTACAGTAGCTGTTAGGAAATCACCTTGAATCAAGGCTCCATTCACTGTCTATGTCCACACTTTGAGGCTGACATTGTCTTGAGGCTAATTGTCGTCATCAGACTGTGAGCTCAACACCAGCAGCAGAGGAAACATAGTCCAACAGTTACAAGACTTTGTTCACATCATCAGGTTGAGGAGACTAAGCACAGAGAAAGATCGAACACGTTTTTACACTTTTCTGAAGTGGTCGGATTAGTTTGGAGGCTCTGAGGGGCAAAACCCAACAAGCCTCGAGTAATAATAAGTACACGGTGTAACAGACAACACATTGATTTGGGATCTGTCTGATCACAAACAAGAAACACTGTTGCTTGCTATCCTTTGCTGCTGTTTTAGGTTTTGTTAATATGTTTTGTAAGACATCAGGGCTGGACGATATGGCCACAAAACATTTCAATCAGTATCGATAATTATCACAATAAATGTTGCATCATTATTATTATTTCTGTTAAGTTTAAAGACTGACTTTTGCTCCTGAGTGAGGGTTGTGGTTTTAAACTCTTTATCAGCAGAGAATGACAAACAGACTTTGTGTTATACCTCCTCACTGCTTACACAATGCATGGTCGATTTACTGAAGCATTTTGAACCTTTGTTACATTGATGCACATAATATTGTTATAATTATTGATATTGTATCAAGTTTTCTATTTTACAACTGTTTCGGCCAATATTGATGTGTTTTGCCCCTCACGGCCACCGTAGTTAGAAACAAATCTAAACCTGCGACAGCATCTTTATCCAAAATATCCCAAATCAGAAATGTGACGTGAAGCCAACTTGACAAAACACCTGAATCCGTTTTACACCCAAAAAACTGTGACACAGCTTCAGCAGTTGTCCAACCTGCAAGATCCTCCTCTTGAAGCCTACTTTGACCTGTCATCCTGTTTTCCTACTAAGTTGTAAATGACCCCTGCTAGAAGAGACGCCCCCGTGAGGCCGGTGACAGCAGTGAGCGTCTTCCACATGCTGGCTGAACTCTCGTGCCTGTCTATAAAGCTCTTGTAGTCAGTGGCCACCAGCATGTATTTGCGGTGGTCCTGCGGCGCCTGCAGCCTCATCACCTGGCCTCCCTCCAGCACCACCTCCCCGAACCCAGTCAGGACGCTCCCCACCCGCAGCAGCTCCTCGCTCTCCTCCATCGCCACGGGTTTCTCCCCACTGAGGCCCTGCAGTGCCAGGTTCACCAAGCTCTCCTCAGAACGTCTTAATTTGTGGTAGACCCTCTCCAGGGGGCAGCCGCAGGCCTCCAGAGGGTTCTGCACTTTCACGTACATGTCAGTCATGTAGGCTCCAGGGCTGATCAGACTGAAGGGCACAGAGTTGCTGGTCTCTTTCTTATTCACTGTCCGAGAATTCCTGGAGAAATTAAACAAATTGTTTTTAAAATGTACATTAATGAATTGACATTTTTGACACGTTCTCAAGTGTATGTACCACGTGCTGGTGAGGCTGTTCCAGTATTTCCAGTGTTCCTCCACAGCGATCTTCTGAATCACACCAAAGCATCGTGGGACAAACCGGCTGGCCAGAGGCTCCGCGTCTGCCTGGACCAGACCTGTGAAAAAGACATGCAGGAAACTTTAAATGAGCCCCACGACTGAAACTATTCAAAACTGCATCTACCTACTAAGTCCACAAACATCTGTCATGTCCTTCTGTAAGTGGAACACATCTCAAGAACTGTTCGTCTTATCGGCTTCACATTTGGCATGTGTCTCAATAACAGGCCAGGGAAGTGCAGAGGTAATTTTGGTACGATCTGGACACTTGATATGTTCAATATATATGAAACTTGAATTAACAGGTGACTAGTGCTCTGTAGCAGTCAGTGGGGGCAGGGCAGTGAGCCAGTCCTCTACATCTGCTTTTATTTTGATAAGTTGTAAACTTTGGCCTGTGTCAGTTACTTAACAGACCTCTGAAGTAGCAAACATGCATTGTATAAAAATATAACTCCAACCTGGTTTATAAACCACAGGGGAGAAGTAATAAAGCAAATTCACTTTCATTTTACGAAATACATTGACTTTAAAATCTACACTGTAGATAAACCAGGTAGAATGATCACAAACTGCACTCTGCACCATTTGTTTGTAAAAAGCTCTGCACCCAACTTCCAGCACACAACCAATAAAAAGTGACAGTATATAGTATAGTATATAGAATATATAGAACTGTGGAAGTAGCTCCAGAGCGTTAACACAGGACAAGAGAACAATCAGGCAGGTTCACTGCTCTACTTCTGTTAAATGTGAGTTTCCTGTTGTTTTACCTTCCACAGCAACATACTGGAGTCTCTTGTGGGGCGATGCTTTCAGTACATGGACCAGATGTTGGTCTGGTTTGAAAAGAGGTATTTCCTTAAACAGAAGAAAATATATATTTTAAATGACTATGAAACTAGATCTGTATATAAAGTTTATGGGCTCATTGTGAACCTGCCTTCAGCTTTTCCAGCTCCTTCTTCTTCTCTTGATACAAATGATAAAACAGGCTGGAGAAGGCAAAGCTGGAGCCCACCCCGATCAGAACCAGTGTGTTGACAGGGGAGTCACTCATGGTGCCTGAGAGGAGTTAGTGTAGCAGAGTAACACAACATGTTATCCGAGCGGAGGTCAGGAGAGTCAAGGTGATCCGAGGAACAATCCCACTGACGGTAAATGGAACATGGAACAACAACATACCTGTTTAAACTGTGGGTGTGAAACCGACTCGTCTGAAGTTTGTTCACAAGAACCGAAAACAAAAGCTTTGGCTGCACTCGTTTCACTTCCTTGGTTCTCTACGTGACGACACGGTCCAATAACCAATAGGGAAAAAGAGGCTATTTCTTCATGTGAGCTCTTTGACCAGCAGGTGGCAGCACTGTCATGTTGATAGGTCACATGAGACCTCACTTTAACCCAGAACAAGAAGAAGTGTTTCGATCTCTTTATAAACAGCAAGAAGCTGCTGCAAAATACACGACCCTGCAGAGAAGAGAAGAGAACAGAAGAGAATAGAATGCAGAAATACTAGGATCGGATAGAACACAATAGAATAGAATACAGAAATACCAGGATGGGATAGAATTGAACATAATAGAATAGAATAGAACATAATAGAACATAATAGGATATAAAATCATAGAATAGAACAGAACAGACTAGAATAAAACATAATAGAATAGAACAGAACATAATAGAACAGAATAGAACATAATCGAATAGAACAGAACATAATAGGATACAAAATCATAGAATAGAACAGAACAGAATAGAATAAAAAATAATAGAATAGAATAGAACATAATAGAATAAA